CCCGTGCTCTGCACCCTCGCCGCCCCGCTTGCACGCGCGCTCACGCCCGCTGGCGTCCTCGCTCTGCAGGCGCCCGTGCTCTCCCATGCCCTCACTAACGGAGCGGGAAGGCAGGAGGGAAGGAAGGAAAAGGGAAGAAGGAGGGATGAAAGGGAAAGGAAGTGAAAAGCAGGGCAAGGAAATGAAGGAAAGGGGAAGGACAAAGGAAGGAAAATGGGAAAGGAAAGGTAGGGAAGAAGGAACAAAATGGGAGGCAACAAATGGAAAGGAAGGAAAGGAACGAAAAGGAAATGTGAGAAAGGAAAAGGAGTCCAAGGGAAAGGGGGAGGGAGGGAGGAAGGAAGGAAAAAAAGAAGATAAAGGAAAAGCCAGGAAGTAGGAAGAAAGGAACAGAGAGGAAATGCAGGAAAAGGAGGAGAAAATGAAGGAGGAAAGGAGGAAAAGGATGGGTGAGAAAAAGGAAGGCTAGGGAAAAAGGCAGGGACAAAGGAAGGTAGGAAGGAAACAAAGCGGGAGGAAAGGCAAGAAGGAAAAAGGAGAAAGTCAGGAGACAAGAAGGGAAGAAGGAAGGAATAAGAAAGGCAGAAAAGGATGGAAGAGGAAGAAAGGAAAGGAAGGAAGAGGAAATGCAGGAGGGAAGGAAGAGGAAAGGCAAGAAAGAAGAAAAAGGCAGGAGGGGAGGAAAAAAGGAAGAGGAAAGGCAGGAAAGAAGGAAGAGAAGGCAGGAGGGAAGGAAAAAGGAAATGCAGGAGGGGGAGGAAAAGGAAAGGCAGGAAAGAAGCATGGAAGAAAGGAAATTACGGAGGAAGTAAGTAAAAAGGCAGGAATGATGAAGAAAGGAAAGAAAAACGGAAAAGTGGAGAGGAAATGCAGGAGGGGAAAGCAAGGCAGGAAAGAAGGAAGAAGGGAAAAGTCAGGAGGGAAGGAAAAAAGGAAGGAAGAGGGGAAGGTAGGATGGAAGGAAGGGGGAAGGTAGGATGGAAGGAAGAGAGGAAAGGAAGGAAGGAGATAAGGAAAAGGAAGTATAGGAAGGAGAAGAGGAAGAGGAAAGGTGAGAAAGAAGGATGAAAATATGAAGGAAGGAGGATGGAAGGATGGATGGAAAAAGGAAAGGTAAAGGAAAACGGAAGAGGAAAGGCAGGAGGGAAGGATGGAAAAAGAGGAAGGAAAAAAGGAAGAGGAAATGTAGTATGGAATGATAAAAGCAAGGAAAGGCAGGAAAGAAAAAGGAAGGAAAAAAGGAAAAGATGGAAAAAAGAGGAAAGGCAGGAAAGGATGAAAAAAAGCAAAGTATGAAGGGAGGAAAAAGGAACGGCAAGAAGAAGAAATGGAAGGGAAAAGGGAAAGGTGGGGAGGAAGGCAGGAGAAAAGGGAAGGCATGAAAAAAAGGTAAGGCAGGAAGGCGGAAAAGGGAGGAATAAAAAGAAAAGAAAAAAGGAAAGGCAGGAAAGAAGAAAAACGCAGGGGAAAAAAAGGAAGGAAAAGGAAATGCAGGAACAAAGGAAGGAAAAAGGGGGGAGGGAAAGGAAGGAAAAGCAAAAGAAGGGAAGGAAGAAAAAGGGCTGGAAAGAAAGGGGAGATAAGGAAGGAAGAGCAGGGAGGGCCGAGGGCCGGTCACCCAGCGTGCGCTGTCGCTGCAGGAGAGCAAGGGCTACGACTTCGAGTCGGAGACGGACACGGAGAGCATCGCCAAACTGGTCAAGTACATGTACGACAACCGGGACAGCGACGACATCAGCTTCACCACCCTGGTGGAGAGGGTCATCCAGCAGCTGGTAATGCTGGGAGCAGGGTGTGGCTGGGGCCACGGGGGCAGACGGGGGGACAGATGCCCCCCAGTAGACAGACAGACGGACACACAAAACAGCAGCTGCACTCCAGTATTGCCCAGGGTAACCTGGCCGGTGCAGCGCCGTGCCTGCCGCGGGGCGTTCTGTGGCCGGCGCCAAGGAGCGTTTTTGCCTCTCCTACCCCTGACTGTTCATCTTGGACAAATGTTCGTTTTTCTGCACCATTAGTCAATACTCGTGTGAAAAATGTCTAAATTTCGGGGTGCAACAGCATCTCGAGGCAGCCAGTCCCTGGTGTGTTGGGTGGCGAGTGTGTGGGAGGTGGGAGCCGGGAAGGGACAGAGTGCTTCAAATCTTCCACAAAACCTCCAGCTGGAAGAGCTGCTGACCCCTTGTGGGAGCTTCGCTGCATGGCGTGTGGTTCCACGTGTTGGGTCTTGCCGAGCCGCGCAGAGGAACGGGGTCCATCTGCAATTCCCCTCTTGTCCCGGAGTGCCTGGTTTGGGGCAGCTCTTCAGTGCTTTGCCTGGCAGGAGCTGCAGCAGCAATAGACCAGGAGCACGTTTTGCTGGCAGATTGTGGTGGCTCTCCTGAACGGTCGGTGGCTCCACACCTGCGCAAACACCCCAAAGTTTTGGGGCTTTTTCTACCAGGTCTTTGCCTTTCTAAGTCCCCTCACCGCGCTCCAGGCTAACACAGGAGCGCTTGCACGGGTTGCCAGGGATGGCCAAGCGTCTGTCTGGGAGTTCAGAGGACTCGTTAAGCGGTTGAGGATGAGCTACCCGGGCTCGGGGGAGGGACGCCCTGCCAGAACCAGGTGCCTGGAGCATTTGGTGGCTCTCAAGACGGCCGTGAAGCCGCCTCCTTGCTCTCTCTTACTTGTTTGCAGAAACATGGGTGCAGCTTCTGGGCTGGGACTCCTGAAATGGCAGCCCCAGCCTCAAAGGCAAGGATAAAGAGTTTGTATTTCTCTTGTTCCAGGAAGGTGCTTTTGCCCTGGTGTTCAAAAGTGTTCATTATCCTGGGCAAGCGGTCGGTACCCGGTAAGTGTTGCTGTGGGAAACGATGTTCCTGTTGCGCCCTGTATGTCACCTTCTTTTGCGGCCCCCCCCCCCCAAGTTAGAAGGTGATGAGTAGAGGTGGTTCTCATCACGCTGTATGTGCTGGCGTGAGGGCGTCTGTTGTTTTTCCTTTCCTTTCTCTTGTTTTCCATGGATCGTAACAGAAAATTCCCAAAAATGTTTTGAAAATTCCTTAGCGACCACCTGCATGCCACTGGTCTGGAACAGCTTCTTCTCTAGACTCTGGCTGTGAGGGCTTTGGGAGGGAGATGCTTTTCTCTCTTCCTTTGTGCTTCCCCATGCTGGCACACATGCGCAAGGCCTCCGTTTGACTTGACGTTGGGCCAGCCTGGTGTTCAGGTTTTCCACTCCAACCCAACTGATGCTGGGAAGTGGTTTAACCATACCCGTGCTCAGCACAGGTTTTGAATTTCGGTGCCGATGGCTGTTCGTAGATGCGTACAGGCAGCGACAGCCGCTGGGTTGCTGGTTCAGTGTCCGTGGGGTTGCAGTTACACTTGCAGAGTTCCCGCTAAACTTGAGGCGGGTTCCTCGTGTCCCTGCATTGTGTTTGTTCAGAGATTCTTTCGCTCTGTCTCGTGGCCTCCTGCGTTTGCAGCACTAACAGCTTGTCTGGGAGGAGCTCGCTCGGTTTTAGTTCAGCTCAGTTGCTGGGCTGGAGAACAATGGTCCCTTCAGGTCGGGCGTCAGGGTGATGGGTCTTTGGGTGCTGAGGGCTGTAACTCGGTGTCTTCCTGCAGGCGAGGCAGCCCCCTGCTCATAGGAGTGCGCAGCGAGCACAAGCTCTCCACCGACCACATCCCGATACTCTACCGGACAGGTAAGCCTGAGCACGCCCCCCCCAGAGGAACCACGTTCCAGACACAGTCAGACCCCGTGTACAAGCATAGTGCCACACAGAGCTGCGTGTTCTGGAATACATACTACGCTTTAAGCATTCCATCTGTCCATTAAACCATTTGAAGTTTACTTTAAAAAAGAGATTTTAATTTTTTTTAAGCAGGTTTTTCACCACGTGCTATGCCACCGCCTGCCTCGAGGTTGTCTGCTGAGGGATGTGCTGTTGCTCGCTGGTATCTGCCCGCGTACCAGCAGCGCTGACCTCTAGCTCTGTAATCAAAGCTTTAATGGCCAGTGGTTGCAAGGAAAACACATCTTAATGCAGTAGAATAGAATAGAATGGTTCAGTCAAGTCAACAGTACAGTTAAACTTGCACGCTTAAATTTGTATTTTGTGAGTGGCACCTTGGGCATTCATGGACTTGGTTGTTTTCAAGAACAAAAATGAGCGTGCGTTGAAGGCTGGAGGCTTTTCACTGTCCAAGACCTTTCCTCTGCCTCCCCAACCTCATTTTTAATAAGTAGAATGCCGTTACCCTTTGTGAGACAGCCTGTATTTATGTTGTCCGTCCATCTTTCTCCCACACCTGTGTTTCACCACATAGTTGCACCCTCGAAAGTGGAAAGTGGCTAAGAATGATCTCGTAATTTACCATTGTCAGAGGAGTCTGAACCCCTTCAGTTCTGGGCATGGGTCTTAGCGCTTCCTAACGAGTTGCTAACGATTGCTTGCTGCAATTAACATGAAGAACCAGGTCCAGTAAGCTTTGTCGGTGTTAACTCCTGGTTGGTGCTGGATAATTAGCAGTAATCCTTGACGTATGTATGTAACACTTTTTTTTTTTTTTTTTTTCCCCCACCCCGACTGATTTTCTGAAGTTTGTTTTGTGTTTTTTTTTTCCCACTTACACTTTCAGCTGTACAATCTATGGATCATTCTGTTGATGGAATATCCATAAAAATGGAGGAAGGTGCCTACCAGAGAAAATCTAATATTTGACATCTCAGACAAATCCTCCCAATTCCTTAGGAAAGGAATCATAAATGAGACAAATCTGCATTGTGTCTTTAATATGTGGTTATTGCTTTCCGTGTATGTAGTGGAACAAATGGGATAATCAGAATTCCTTCTTGATCAGAAACACCATGAGCAACACGCACGGGAAAACACACCCGTCAGCCCACCCACGCCACTTCAAATGTTCTGACATTGTGCTCAGCACGTGCACAAATCCAGTGACTTGGTGCAGGTTGTGCTGCGTGCTCCCTGCAGCTCTGATTACAGAAGGAAACAGTAAACTACCTTAAAAAAACCAACCAACCAAACAACCCCCCCCCCCCAAAAAAAAAAAACCACAACAAAAACAGGCAACTTTAATTGAACTGTGAAAAGACTACTCACTTGTGTCTTCACTCTCTCTTTCTTTAGCAAAAGAATAGGGTATGTAATTAACACTCAGAACAGGTTGCAGAATTAGAAAAAGTCCAGTGCTGGGACCAGACTTACTGTTTATGAAAAATAGGGCCTATTATCCTGGCAGGCTATCTGTCAAGAATCCAAATTAGTTCATTAAAAACAACAGAATATTAGTAACATCTAATTCTTTGTTTGTGTTTCTACTTACGCTGCTATTCTATCAGCTGACTCCCCTCTTCTGCTACTTCAATTGCTCCTAATTCTCTGCTGCATAAAATAACCATATGAGATGTTAAATGCTGTTGGAAGACATACTTGTGATTCCTCCCTTTGCTCGTTCACTGCCCTGCTTTTTAGCCTTCAGTGATACTGCTGTCACAGTTCTCTAGTCCCAACCTACTCATTTGACAAAAATACAACCAACCAAACAACCCCCCCCCCCAAAAAAAACCCCCACAAAACAAGAGTGAAACCCTGTTAGGAGGCTGCTCATAATCCTAACACGAGCGGTCTCCAAAATTTCTTCTGGAGCTCAGCGTGCCAGAGCGCTGTGGCCTCCCCTCCTGGCGTAGTGTGACTCTGAGTTGCCTCTGGTGGAAGCTGCAAGGTTGACCTGAGGCTGGAACTTACCCCCCTTTGCTCACTTATCGGGGTGAACCGCTTTAATTCACACCAAGTAGGTTTTTTAAAGGCTAACCCATCGTACGTGATGTGGTGAACTGAGTTTGGGAGCCCCCTGTTCCGTAAGGGAAAAGGATCGGGTTCTTAGCTGCTGTAAATAAAGGGGATTCCAGCCGCAGGCACTGACAGCCCAGGGGGGGAAATCTGTGGCTTTTGCTGGGGGAGAAACAACCCTCCGTGTGCTGAAAGGTGAGCTGTGTGTGTTCTCTGTCAGGCGCTGGTTTGCCTGAATCAAACATCGTGTGAGGTTTTGTTTCTTTTCACCAAATGTCCCTCTTGAGTCGGTCTGAAGTGCTTGGAGTAAAACTCTGGAGTCAGGTTGATTCCCAGTGGCTTTAAGAACCAAAGTCCCTCAGCTTTCAGAAGCACCAAGGCTTTTCTGAAAAATGGACCATGGATTTGAGTGTCTTCGACTATAATTCCGTTAGTCGTATCGTGCTGTCAGCTGACAGCATTGCTTACAGAACCCAGAACTTTAATGCTCAAGCGAGCTCGGAACAGTCTGTGGAGCAGCAGCCCCGTTAATCTCTGCCGTAGGACCTTCGCAGAGCTGCCATGCATTTGGGATGGCCATACTGGGGGGCGAGGTGGTATCAGAACAGACTCAAAACACGTATCCCCTGCCCAATTTTTACTATACCTGTGTTAATCCTCCATGATGTCCCCATTCTTTGATTTAGAAGGGAAAAGATTAAAAGATTACTTCTGTGTTGCTTCTAAATTCTAGTAAATGGGAGGTGGGTGCTGTAGACCACGATCCAGGTTATCCATAGAGAAATGGGCAACCTGGACAAATCCATCATTACCATAACAAGCGTCACTGCCTGATAACGCTCACTGTAACATGGCAGTCGCCCCTTGGTGAGCTGTACGTATGGTGCACGCCTATGTGCACAGTTAGGACGCGTTCCAGCGTAGAATCTCTAATACAGGAAAGCAATGCAGCATAATAAAGTCAATGCAGAGAAATGTTGTATTTTGAGAAACAAAATTTGCATGTTTTGATCAAGTACGGGTGCTTCTGCTGGAGAACGGCCGCTACCACCTCTGCTCTGTCCTTTCTCAACAACAAATCCGCCTGTCCTCTCTCAGCTCCACGACAAAGGAGCTGTTTTCCTCATTTGCTGACTTAGTTAAAGCGGAGGGCTCTGAACTCTTGGCTGAGTGGAACCTTCTTTCTGAGTATCAACATGAAAGCAGTATTTTTTCTTTACATTTTCATTTACAAAAGTATAAATCTAAACGTCGTGAGCTCTACTTCTGTCACCCAGTCAGATCAGTGCCCAGCAGCTGAGGCACAACGTTAGAGCTTATGGAATAAATACGTAACAGAGTAACTTCCCTCTTGTTATTCTCCAGCCATAGTCACGTTTTGCCTGATAAGCTGATTAATCCACCCCCGCCCCTTCCCATACCGTGCACAGTGACTGGCAAATAATTTCGTGGGAGCTGTAGGTGTTTTGCTCCTCATCTGCATTCCTGATGAGCCGCGCCACTGAGAAGCATTTTCTGGAGTTAAAGAGGAGGCGAGGCGGGGTATCGGGAATTGCCAGAGAAGGGATCCCTGGTGAAATACTGAATGCTCTTAAAGGCTCAGTAGAAGTTTTTCAGAAGTTGCCTCGTCGTCCCGTACCCTTCGGCACACCTGGATGCTTCCCTGGCAGTAGCGGAAGACTCGCGGCAGTTTACCGGCTGTACAGTTTTTTTGAGGCAGTTGTCTGCGATGGCTCAGGAGCAAGGCCCAGTACTCCTCCTGTACTCCTGATCCGTGTCTGAGCACATGAGCTCAGCCAGGCAAAAATAGGTTTGGGTTACCTCTGCCGGGGCTCAGGGGAGCAGCGTGGCTGCACAGGTGGCAGCTCCGGAAGAATTTCCCCAGTGCTGAGATGAAGTGACAAAGAATGAGCAATCCCGCTCGATTTCTCGAGCCTCAGGGAAGTCAGTGAAACAGAAGCACAGGAGAAACTTAAAATGATGAACAGGGCGGATTCAACTGGGAAAATGTCGGTAAATGTGACTGCTCACAAAGCAGCTCAAATTCTTTTCTGCTAGTGGAGCCACGCACAAACTTTCATTTAAATTTTTCTTTATATTTTCCTGTAAACGTGAAAGTCTGCACTGACGTTACCCTTGCAGGCTTAACTCAAAAGCACATAAAAACCTCACGAGCAAACTGCGAAAGGGCTCGGCACTACGCGTGCCAGTACGCTGCCCTCGTCTATTGTCGCCGTTAAATTTACTGTGACCACGCAGAGTGGTGAAAATAGTGCTTCATGTTGGTACTGTGCCTTGGGACCTCTGGCTGAGGCTGACGTGGCGGCTGCGTTTCGGATTTGTCG